GACTTGGGCGGAAGTCGCGCGGAATTTTAAACGGCCAGCGAGCCAATTACTAGCCGCCACGTGTGAATAATTTAGCACTGGCCAATAACGGGGCACAAATTTGCATCCGAATAGCGGGAACTCTTTGCACCGTGCATCTCTGTGCTGCAAAGAAGAAATGCATCCTGCAAAGGAAACTGCAAATTGGCGGGAACTCTCCTGCACGCAGGCTCTTAATTGCAGCAGAACACTCTGCCGTGCCAAGGAGCTCTCATGTGGCCAGGAAATTCCATAGTGCCGAAGCACAAAAAATCACTGGGTCGTGACAACTACCTGTTGCTTTGCAAAACATCAAGAAATCTTAAGATTTTATTCTACAGTAATATGTAATAATTCGGAACTGAATCACCTTCCCTCCATCTGGCAAACTGTATAGCAGGGGTTTAGGAATAGGATTGTTTTTGTGAAGTGCCCTTTAAATACTCCTTCCATACTATGCTGTTGAGAGAGGGGACTTCCCCTTCCCCTACTCAATAGACTCTGGGACATGGCCAGAAAACCTGCAGATGACCATGACAGCTCTTATCCACATGAAAGCCGTCTGTTTCACTGCTGGACTTGTGGCCCCTGGGTTCCATCTGTCATGGGCAGCATGGCTGCACTAACAGATAGGCCTTTTCCGTATGGCTAACAGTGTTAGAATCCAGCCCTAAATTATTGCTCACTTTATACTAGTGTTATATAAAAAAGATATGATGAGCTCAGAAGCAACAGACACTCTTTAATCTATGGTCTGAAAGCAGGATTATCCAACTTCTGAGTTACACTTTTAGATCAGGATTGTCCAACTGGCAGCACCCAAGTCACACACCGCATGCCATGAAGCCGCCAGTTATGTGGACTCCCTGAGACCACTCCTCCTCTGCTGCGTGAACAGTGTGAGCCCTTCCTCCTTTGCAGTCACATAGGCAGTGCAAGCCCCATCTCTGTTGCTGCCACATGAACACAGGGCACACCAGTCCCTCTCCTTTTGTGTTGCCCAGCTCCTATAGCAGCAGAAGCAATGTGGGGAGTGGCAGCACACAAGCCAGGTGTAGCCCACAGGCTACCAGTTAGACGACCCTGGTCTAATATTGCATTGAATATCATTTGTACTATCTGGCATGTCTGCATATGAAATTAATGCCATGCAATAAACTGGCGCATATTATGCTGGAGTTTATTGCTCCCAGGTGCAGCATCTTTACATGAACCTGGGACCACAGCACACTGAGCTGGGTTAGAGCAGCCCCCGCTGGCATGGGGCTTGTAGGGGAGGTCAGCCTGCCAGCCCAGGGCTGCTCTCTCCCAGCTCAGCATGCTGCAGAAGGGCTAGCTGGGGGACAAAGGTGCTTCAGCCTGGAGCTAGCTGGCAGGCAGCCCCTGCACTGAAGCACCCTCATGTCCCAGCCAGCCCCATCAGTGTCTACATGTTTGTTGCAGCACACTAAATTATGTGACCACAGGATAGTTGTGTTTACATGTACTAACCGACAGTGTAGTTAATTAGTTTCCTGTGGTCTAATAGGGATGCACATGTAGACACTGAGATTTTACTGTGGAGCTAATTGGACAGCTTTGCATTAAACATCTTGTGTAGATATGCTCACTGTATAGTAAGTCACTACTCAGAGTGAGCAAGAGGGGCAGAATTAGGATTTTATGATGTTATTTCTAAAATAAACCGCAGTCTATTATTTTAGTTAACAAATATTCAAGCAATTACCTATTTGTGCAGATAAACCAAAGATACATCTTCACATGGAAACCTCAATAGCATCATCTTATAACTCTGTATTTCTGTGCTGTGGCACTGCTCTTCATTTTGAAAACTGAAAGCTCATAAAATGCATAAGCCCTAAGGTAACAGTGAAGGAAACATAAAGAAGTTAGGGGAAAATCCTGTGACTTATGTGGCTTGCAGACACAGCAAGATAACAATATATTTACAAATGTGTTTTATCTTTCAGGTTTTTGCCATTTTCTTCATGTCAGAAAAACCAGAAGTATGATCCATTAATTCATTCATCAAGTAAATATGGTCAAATAACTTACGGGATTAAACATTTCCGAGAAGAACATCATGAAAAATGGGTAGCAAACAAGGTGAGTTACTGCAAAATCAGGCAATGTCACTGGTTTCTAGATCAGGGTCAGCAATGTTTTTGGGCAGAGTGCCAAGAACACCCCAACCTTGACTTGTAAGATGTTGGCATGGTGGAGAGTGGCATGGCAGGAGTGGAGAGTGGGGAGCTGTGAGGAGCCCAGTCCTTTTTGTGGCAGCACAGCTTCAGCCCCTTTCCCACCATCTGACCTGAAGTGCACATGCCAAGCAAAATGTCTTTGTATGCCATGCTCTGGCACACATGCCGGGGGTTGCCAACCCTAGTTCTGGATTGTTAAAACTAAAGAATAGTGGGCCTGATCCAAAAAAGACTGAATTCAGTGGGGGCCTCTGAAGCAGGTCATGAAAAGGGCTGTAAGAAAGCTGACTGTTGTATAGAAGATGCTCAGTTTCTTCATTTCTCTTTGTAGTCAAAGTTGAGGTCATTCAGGTCCTCTCAGTAGATGTTTAGCACTTTGCCAAGTAAAGACAAGTTATCGGGGTAAAGATGCTTCTGATAAATGCTATATTATCTGCATTCATTTTGAAAAAAATGCTATTTTATGTACAGCATTTTTTTGATCTGGTAAAATAATGTTTTATTTCCTAACACTGCAAGATGTGATGTTTCTCAGAACAGTTAACATTATATAAATATATGTTCAATCAGAGGAATTCAGTACAGGATAGGATGTCAAAAGTGTAAAAGCTTCAGTCATGTACAGCATCAGTCACAAAGCATGAAATGGAAAAAGGCAATTGAACAGTTGCTTCTTGGTTGTTTTCATAAATTGTCAGCTTTGGGAATGTATATACCCTCCCTGTGTACTTCACGTAAAGCAGGTAGAAGAAAAAATATTCTTACACATCAACTCTACCTAAGCTAGGACCTGTTTGTTGATAGGACTTCTGGTTCTGTGAGGTGGGAGGAATTAGTTCTCTATTCACCATTTGCGGAATTATTTAGGAGAGATTAAAAATGAACTAGAAAATATTTTTGACACGTTCAATGCAAATAGTGGGCATTTACCTTGGTCCTTTAAACTGTGTCAGTGGTGATGATTAAGAAATAATCAGTTTTCAAACATTTTTTCTCTTTAAATGTATACTGAAACGTCAGTCTCATATAAATAATGTTGCAAATTTTCAAGAAATTAGATATTTTAAAATTTCTATCCTATTTTAGCAAAGCTACTCTATAAATTAAAAAAAAAGACTTGTTTTTCTCTTTTATTTATTGCTAGGATAATAAAACTGTAGCTAGCTAAACTTCAGTCCATTAAGAACATGCTCACTCTCTGACTCTCCCCTGCCAACTCTCTCAGGCATTTCATTTTGATACAGGAGATGGGTGTGAGAGTAAAAATGAATTCTTTATTTTGAACACGATCCCTCAAGCTGAGGATAGTCTTTTGAGGTGCTGGCATGATTCTGTTCATTCTGATTATTGTTACATGTTCATATCCAAAATGTAACAAAAATTTTCAACTCCAAAAATATAATTTGGTACATTTGTTCTTGTAATTGCTAGTAATACTTTCATAAGCAAGACAGATCTCTTCCGAACTTTGACAAATAGATCAGAGTAGGGCCGTGGACAGACACATATTTGAAATGAACTGAACTCCCCATATCACCCCCACCACCACATGCAGTGATATCACTCTCAAGCAAGGGAGCCGGAGAACTGGAATCCCTGCATGACTCTCAGCCTCAAGCCTCTGGAGGCTCCCAAGTATAGACAAGCATATGGGAAAGTGCTTATTATCTTTCTGTCTCAATTTGCCTACCACCACCCTTGTAGTGAGTAGAGTGCAGAGCAGAGCACTGTAAGATGTCAGATGACTGCTGGTGCATATAGCCATTTCGGGAAGCATTTCAAAAGAAAGCACGTCAAACATGATCCTCACTTTTTGTGGATCATTTTGGAGGCACTGCTTCAGCCACACAAGCCTGTACCCTGTCTGTTTACTAGGGAGTGCAAAACAGCACTGTTCCATTTCACCTTGAGTTTCAACGGTTTGAGGGAACAGTGTTTTGTATTGAATTTCATTTCGAGTTGAAACAGCTGTTCCATTCTGTCGAAAGAGAAAGGCTGTTTCAGCACTGTTTCGAGTTTTGCCGGGGATGGGAAGTCAGCCCAGCTGGGCCGACTCCACATCCCCCAGGGCCAGAGGCGGGAGGCAGCCTATCCCCTGTGCTACATCGCACCAGGGGCGGGAGGCAGCCCAGTTGGGCTGCTTTCCAGTCCCCCGCACTAGATTGGGCCGGGGGAGGGAGGCAGCCCAACTGGGCTGCTTTCCCGTCCCCTGTGCTACATCCTGCTGGGGGCAGGAGGCAGCCTAGCTAAGCTGCTTTCCTGTTCCCTGCGCTACATCGCACTGGGGGCGGGAGGCAGCCCAGCTGTGCAGCCTCACTGCCCCCTGCCGAATCTTGTGCTGGGGTTGCGAAGTCAGCCCAGCTGGACTGACTTCCCATCCCCAGCCTATGGTTGAAATGTTTCAACCTTCAAAATGTCTCAACCAGCCTCGTTTTGTTTGGAGGCTATTTCAAGAGCCTTTGTTTCATTCCAATTTTGCTGTTTCAACCTCAAATTTGGTCGAAACAGTGTCAGAATGAAACGGCTGGCGAAATTTCACACAGCCCTACTCTTTACTGCTCTGTGAAGGTGCTAAGAGCACTTCAAACAGCATGTCTATCCAGTGCCTTAAAACTTGGGTATCTTAACATAACTGCATTACCTAAATTGGGCTGCAGTTAAATGCATATAGGCTAACAATTAATCTTTCTATTAAGAAATAAAGTTTGCCTGAATATCATTTTAAAAAATGAAAAATGGGTACCATTGTTTGGAACCTATAAGCATAGTGTAAGCAGTACATTTTAAAGGGTCTCCAAACAATTTTGCTGGTGATCCTCAGTTCTGACCTGCAACATGTATCCATTCCCAATCCTGCGTATTTCATGATCAGAGACAAACAGCCACACCAAACCATATGGAGGTTTTACGATGTACACCATATAAAGTAGGAACTTAGCTGAGACCACCAAACTCATTTTTACTTGTGATCTTAAGCAATTTTAAACCTAAATCTCTTGAGGTGAACAACCATATGCATTAACCCAATATGACATCTAGCCTTCCAACTACAGATTCTAAATCAATATGAAGCTTCAATTAGAAGGCACTTACCAAAACAGAGAGCTAATAGGAAAGAAGAGCAGTTTCTTGACCTACCTGCTGCTTTTACTGGTCATTATTTTCAAGAGAGAGTCTAAAAGCTATACCCTTCATCATATTTTAAGGAAAGAGTTTCTATTTAAAAGACCCAACATCATTACTTTTAAAAGCAAAACTTTATTTTGAATCACCCCTAAGTTTCCTGAATTATGCTGTCTACTAGATTATCATGTATTCAGGAACATGATAATGTAAAAGGCACTTAATAAAAAGGCAGATACCATGAAACAAACTGTGTTTTCTAATACAGTTTATATAAGCAAAATGGATGAATTCAGCTTCTCACATATTTTTCTTGAAATGGGTTTGCCCTATTGGTAATTGTACAAATCCTTGTACCAAATCCTCCCAAGAAATCAGTTCGATAGTCAATGGCTTCTTCAAGTGGTAATGGAAAATATGCCTTTCATATTTTACTTATTCAAATGTATATTTTAAAAAGCTAGCTTATATTTTATGGCTACATCCTATTTAATTACATGGTAATATGTGTATATTTTAAATTGAAAACCATAAAGAGATTACTATCTGCCCATAAACCAATTTGATATCCTATGGAAATGAAAACAAACAACTGGAACAACATGGGTTAACTCCATTTCCTTTTAAAAACATGGTTGGATATAGCACAGCCTTCCTCAGAGCATGATAATGGCCATAATGAATGTGAGAAAACTTACTTTGTTTATACTGGTTTTCTCAAAAGTGTTACTTTGCAATGTAACATTTCAGTGAAGTAACACAAAAAGCTAAGGGGGGAAATACTGTATTTAAATTCTTTATTGAAAGCATACATACAAATAAGTATAAATATTTCCCTTTTGTGATCATTATCCCAACTGGAATTTCTGTGTTTAAAAAACACTATTAGAAAATTTGCATGTCGATTTTAACAACACACTTCTAAAAGCCACCAGTAACATCAGTCAGTTTTTATAAGTGTGAAGCTTTAGTATTAATAACCTACCAGTCACCGTGAATTTAATCTATAATGATAGGTCCCAAGTAGTTGGACAGTCAGGGGATCAAATATACTAACTATACTGTTTCAGTTGTCAAAGCACTCACATATGTTCTTATTTACTGAAGCAGAAATGATAGCTTACAGCCTTTAATCAGAATTGGAATTAGTTTGCATATGCATTTTAGACAACTGCCTTTAATGGCAGCATTAAATGTTTTCCTTGTTTGCAAAATTCAGGAAGTGACACTTTAAGATCTTCCTTGTTGATAGATTCTTTCCTCTTATGCCTTATTATAGGTGAATTACAACACAGCTACATCACTGTTTCATTATTTGCACGTGCATTTTGGCCCTAAACAGAATTTTATTATCTACAAAGCATAAAAATATCCAGTACTCTAAAGAATTAATTTAGAGAACCTAAGCATATTGCACAGAACATAAAGTTGACCTTTACCGTCTACAGCTTTTGGAATGGAGTGGGATGTGGAACACATCATAGATTTAATGTGGCACAACGCTGTCTGCAGAAACTTGGGTGGGACTGTGACTGCCTGCCCATTGCACCCGATGATTGAATCTGCTGTCACCAGCATCCTGATAATAATGAACATTCAGCTTAACGACCGTGATTATGATTATCATAATTGATGTGCAAGTGCAGTGTGTGGGGATCATTACAGCTGAACTGTACAGCAGAGAAACATCCCTTAGTTATGGATAATTTTACTTTTATGCATTGATTGGGATAAAATATGCCTTTCAAGTTCAACAGGCCAGCTTAATATAATTTTAGG